GCTCTTGCAGAGATGCAAGGGTGGCTTGAATGCCTCAAGAGGACATATGTGGGGATGTGTGCATTTGCTGACCTGTTACACCGTTCCTATTGCCACCGGGTACTGAATGGCGTACATCTGCTATTCCATAATTGTTTTTCATCAAGATTGAATAACTGTTAAGTCACAGTTCCTTGCCAGGGACAATAAACAGACTCCGTTCAAAACAGAGTATCAGACCTCAGCAGGAAAGCCTCGTGACGCGCCTGTCCCCGAGGCCCTTGCTGAAAAAGAAATAGTTGTGGCTTTTCTAGGGTCCCCTTTAGTGGGGCTTTTAAAGGGAGGCAGCAATTAAAAAGCTCCTTTACTTTAGTTAGGTCTCTAATAGCTGGCTGGAAAGGAGTATATCATAGAACGAGCAAGGGTGTGTTGATGTCATGGGATGGGAGAGAGGGAACCTAGGGAAATTGGAGATGAATTGCAGCCTCTCCTTCCCGCCTTTGTTTTAACGTTATATTATGTTTTACATACAATTTACTGCAATCACAAGGAGTATTATAGGAAGAAGCTGCAATAATTTTACTTCGACTACAGTGGTGGGTTTCAAAAATCGTTCGAACCTACTCTGTGGGTGTGGCCTCCTTTGTGGGAGTGGCTTGCCGCCCATGTGATCGGATGGGAGTGGCTTGCCGCCCATGTGACCAGATATGACGATGCCGACGACACCTGTCAGAACTACCTTAAATGACCTCCCGCACAGCACTGGCATGCATAAGAATATGATGTAAACTTGTTTTTTAAAAGGCATCTTTGGTTTGCGTTAAAACAACTTCAACACACGCAATGTTNTGCCTCTCCGGTTAACCCTGATTACCATTGTAACAACTAAGGTGAAGCGCCCATCGACCTGAGTGACCTTGAGTTGGCCAAGCCCACCCAGTCACGTGACCACCGAGCCCCACCTACCCAGCTGGTCATTAGGGCATAGAACTGGTTGTTAAATTATTTGAATCTCACCACTGGTTGTTAAGTAATCACTGCTCTGGCTAAGTTAGTAATACTTGTTAAGTGAATCAGGTTTCCCCATTGACTTCATATGTCAGGAGGCCACAAAAGGTGAACAATAGGATACAGCAGCTGTCATAAATACATGCCAGTTGCCAAGCATCTGAATTTTGATCACCTGACCTCAAGGATGCTTCTCGGTGGTCACAAGTGTAAAAAATGGTCATAAGTCACTTTTTTTCAGTGCCATTGTAATTTTGGTCAGTAAATGAATGGTTGCAAGCTGAGGAACCAGTTATTTCATGTTATAATATGGCAGTTGCTGTTGCTACTTCTCTAGTTCTGCTGGGTACTTCTGGTTAATTGTTGATAATTTTCCATTCCAAATTCCCTTCTGTAGTTCATACAAACACATGCTACACCAAAACACCATTTTTGGAGAGAATTCTGAGAAATTGGGTGTGGGGAGGGATACAAGTGCAGTCAAGAGCAGGATGATGTTGCACAAGTGGCTTTACTTAGCATGAATCTGAATCCAACTCAATAATAGTAATTTGATTTTCAGCGAACTCCCTTGTATCAGTCAATTGGGAACAGAAACAAGTTATGTTTTTGCTTGAGTAGTGGATATGCTTAGAGCTATCATTTAAGTTGAGATCGGTTGTTCATAGATTTGGAATTGCTCTTATGTTTGGATTTGCATCTTAAAATGAAATCCTTTTTTGTATCAATTCATTCTAATAAATTATAGACGTTTCATCTATGCTGAAATTGACTAGTAAGTTTGAAGCACTTGAACTGGCCCAGAACAAAATGGTGGTATTGTTAGTCTTGTCACAACTAGTCAATGCCTTTGAGGAAATCTTTGAGGAGTACCAGTATGGTCCTCTTCTCCATTAGCAATAGCAATAGCAGTTAGACTTATATACCGCTTCATAGGGCTTTCAATAGCAATAATAATAACAATAGCAATAACNACCTCGGAAGGATGGAAGGCTGAGTCAACCCTGAGCCGGTGAGATTTGAACCGCTGAACTGCTGATCTAGCAGTAGCCTACAGTGCTGCATTTAATCACTGCGCCACCTTGGCTCTTAATCAGGCTCCCACACCTGTATATGTAAATATTAGGTGAATTCACAACCCTGACCATTATGTAGAGATTACTTGCCATGGTATCTTCTTTTTATAATGGTGCTGCCAACAATACTGTTACAGAATTTGAAATTTCTACGGGGGAAGCGTTGTTGCTCAAGGCTTTTCCCTCCCTTTTATTGTTTCTTTGGTTTTATGCCCAGGATAAGAACGCGTTGCATCTCTACTCTGTGAACGGGAAGTATTTGGGCTCTGAGAGCTTGAAAGAAGACGTGTCGGATCTTTGTGTGACTGGAGAGTACATTGTAATAGGGAGTCTACAGGGATTTCTCTCCATAAGAGATGTCTACAGGTAAGGGGAAGCTTGAAAACAAGAAGAAGCCAATGACTTGTAATGTTGACAACTTCAGTCCTTGAGGGGTCTAAGATCAATCAGACGTTCTTAATTGACAGTCTACGATCCTCCTCCACCAACTATTATTTATATGGAAGGAATCTCATATGCTGAATACTAAGAAGCACATTATTTCCTTGCTGGTTAGTTATGTGCTGCTTATGAATTTGAGCTCTCTTACGATTCCTTTAACTACTAATCATGCTTCAGAATATCAGGAAACAATCTTTCTGGATCTCAGCCAACTTCCTGATTTATGTTTTATTGCTGGTCGTTACTGTTTTGTCTTTTTTCTCCTTCTACTGTAAACGTTTAGACAGAGCCCGAATGAATACAGGTAGTCCTCAACTTGCAACCGCAATTGAATCCAAAATTTCTGTTCCTGAGCAAGAAAATTGTTAAGTGAGATTTGCCCCATCTTACGACCTTTCTTGCCACAGTTGTTAACAGTGGTGGGATTCAGCCGGTTCGCACCTATTCGGGAGAACCGGTTGGTAACTTTCTAAGAGGTTCAGAGAACCGGTTGTTGGAAGAAATCTCCTTTTGTTTTTT